AAATTAAGGAAAATAAAAACGATATGACAGTTTGCTCTTTTTGGGTGCCAGCAGTTTATAAATACAAAATTGCAAAAACCGTTGAATATTCACGTATTTGCAGACAAGTTTTGGTACCAAGACCGCAATTAATGCCAAACTATAGCTTCATTTTTCATTGTTTACAAGCCAACTTGTGGGGCTTGTATTTTCTGACTTTATTTATCTGTTCTTTTGTTACATGTCTCATGTCTTCAAAGAATTTTAAAACTGTTGTGTTCTATTTTATGAGAATATTTTCTCTAGGATCTATTGAGAAAATTCCCCGTTCGAATACAAACTCAATCAAACTTCTTTTTACAAGTGTTTTGATTTTTTGTTTACTATTTTCGACGTACTATTCAGCTGGTTTAACTTTACTGTTGCGTTTTCCTCGATTTATGAGAAAAATTGATTCGTTACAAGACGTCATTGATAATGAAATAAAGTGGTTTGGAACCAATGTGTGGATGAAGAACTGGATGAAAAACACCTCCAATGAACTAATCCAACAATTTGCTGATTTGTACGAAGAATACAATAATGTGTCTTTAAGAAATGAAAAAATAAAGCGTGAAACTTACGGTTTATTAGTGGAAACAATTAAGGGAGTGAAAGATAACCAACGCTATGTAATGTTTTCCGAAAAATTAGACGATTTTGGTAAAAAACATTTAAAAATTATCCCTGAAACCGTTGCTTGTTTTTACACCGTTTTTCCATTAAAGCGAAATTCCCCATACGTGAATAAATTTAACAAGGACATACTTAATTTTATCGAATTTGGTTTTATCAATCACTGGTTGCTGAATTTCAGTAGAAAACCTGAAATTCGCTACATGGCATTTTTTTTTCAGAAATACTCAGATGACATAAATCAGCTAATCAATTTGGAGAAATTACAGGGGGCTTTTTATTTTTTGCTTCTAGGACTAGCTTTCTCAACCGTCGTATTTCTCACTGAATTTTTTTGGGGTCAAACACATAATTTGTAATATAATTTAAAAAAAATCCTATATTGTTGAATTACTTAATTAAAGCCTTTTTAGTGCCTTTAGTTTTGCGCAACAACATTCCTTTTTTTGGCCTATCTTCCACCACATTACCATTAAAATTAAAAAATCAATTTTCATCTTCTGAAAGCTCTAATATTTACATAAGGGTCTTAGTGAAAATTATACTTGATAGAGGTACACTTTTTGTGTGATAATTTTGTGTGTAAACTAATTACAAAAAGAAATAAAAAATTTCTTGCGTTTATTGTTGTATTACTGACATTTAGGAAAGCCCTCCGAAGACGCTCTAGGGCACGAAAGCCCCCCAAGTCAAGGCATTAGTGCCTCCAGTTCCGAACAACAACATTTGTTTTCTTGTGGCCCATCTTCGACCACAGTGACAGTCACAGCCACTATTACAAAAATCACCGATGACGAGGTAAATAACCAATTAGTTAGTTTCATAATTACAGAAAAATTTTAGAGCAATTGGGTTTCATCCCCCAAAGATACGGTTTTTCCTGAAACAATTCCTGAAGAAAGTTCTAGTACTGAAGAAGAGCACGTTGTTATTTTTCGACTACCATCACTGCATGAATCAGATGGATTTATCCGAGATCCGTCAATTTATACGGTATTTGACCTGAAAATTCTAAATTTTGAATAAACCAAGTGATTATAGGCTGAAACTAGTTTATTTCAATTGGCTATGAGGAAAACTGGGAGTAAAAATAATGTCAAAAGTGGGGAAGTTTCAACTCCTGTGGGGGCAGAAACCAAACCAAAATCAACCATACAAAAAATCGGGTAAACATGTAGTTAGAACTTTGCGAAAATGTTGATTTAGATTTATAAAAACTTCTAGTTCATCAACTGATAAGGATTCAGTTGATAGCAGTAAACACGCGTCAACTGACGGACCTGGAGGAGACATGGAAGGCTCCCGGAAGACTCTTTCCGGTCAAACCGGAGATATCACAACAGCGACTTATCTCGATGTTGCTGTTTTGAGATGTTTATTTATAACGCATTGGCAAGAAGAAGGGATTTACTGGGCCTTGCACTATTTATACAACAGGTAAAAAATTAGGTTTAAAATAACACAGGGCACTTGACAAATTCTATATCATTGTGTTCGTCTCAGTGAGACAAATCAAATGCACAAAAAAATTTCAAAAAGTCCACACACTTTGAACTTAATAATTTTTTTCTAATTTAAACGAATTTAAAATACTTTAACTTTCAAAAATCATTACTCAATAACTATTAGGCCGATTTTCTTTAAACAAAGACCATTCTAAAGGGATGGACTTGCCCTTTAGAATGATATGAAATTTGAAATTGAATATTGGCAAACTTTTCTTTGAACAGTGTTCGAAGAGGTTCGAAGTAAATCGAAGTCATCTAAGAAAAACCCTAAGAGTAATTTTTTTTTTCATCATTAGCATCGTGTAGAGCATTTTTTTATTAGTTGTAATCCAAATTTTTAAAATAATATACCGAGTAGTTTTTAAGATATGATTTTTGAAGTTAAAGTTTGCTATTCAGGTATTGCGCCATATAGGAGAAATGCATGTTAATCTTACTTAAAATTGCATTTTTATAAAAGTATTTGTTTTATGACTCTTCTTTTGCTTAAAAATGGTCAATTGCACCTTCTTTGTCCTAATTAGAATAAACAAAAACTGTTTCTTTACTTAAAACAAATAAAGAGTACCTGCGTACTAATTAAAGAAAGTAAAGAGTTTTTTTGTTCTAAAAATGATCACTGATCATTGAGCAAAAAGGATCTAGAAGTTTAAAGCAGTAGCTTTAAATATAATAACAAATCTTTTTCAAATTAAATCACTTCCATTCGGATTCTAACTTGTTCACTTTGTTCTAACTTTCTGAACTTTTTTTTTGAAAATGTTCTCAGCAAATGCTTTTTCATCACTTTCTACTGATGTTGAATGCAATAAGTCAGTTGCTTCGTGTGCAACTGTTATCACAACAACTACTACCTACAAGCTAACTGAAGCTAATCGTAGAATATACCAAGAAAATAAATCAGGTGACTTATTGCATTTAACATCACACGAAAGTGATGAGAAAGCATTTGCTCAGAACATTTTCAAAAAAAGTTCAGAAAGCTAGAACAAAGTGAACAAGTCGAAATCAGAATGGAAAGTGATTTGATTTGAAAAAGATTTGCCCTTATATTTAAGGCTCGTGCCTTAAACTTCTAGATCCTCTTTGCTCAATGATCAGTGGTCATTTTTACAACAAAAAAACTCTTTATTTGCTTTAATTAGTACGCAGATACCATTTATTTGTTTTAAGTAAACAAACAGTTTTTGTTTATTCTAATTAGAACAAAGAAGATGCAATTGACTATTTTTAAGCAAAAGAAGAGTCTTAAACCAAATTCTTTTATAAAAATGCAATTTTAAGTAAGATTAACATGCACTTCTCCTATATGGAGCAATGCTTGATTAGCAAACCATAACTTCAAAAAATCATATCTTGAAAACTACTCGGTATATGCTTTTGAAAATTTGGATTACAACTAATAAGGAGATGCTCTACACGATAGTAATGATGGAAAAAAAATTACTTGTAAGATTTTTCTTAGATTATTTCGATTTACTTCGAACTTCTTCGAACACCATTCGAAGAAAAGTTTGCCAATATTCAATTTCAAATTTCATATCATCCAAAAGGACAAAGCCATCCCTTTAGAATGGTCTTTATTTGAAGAAAATCGGCCTAATAGTTATTGAGTAATGATTTTTTAAATATAAAGTATTTTAAATTCATTTAAATTAGAAAAAAATTATTTAGTTCAAAGTGTGTGAACTTTTTGAATTTTTTTTTAGTGCATTTGATTTGTCTCACTGAGACGAACAAAATGATATAAAAATTGTCAAGTTGTCACGACATGACTTTGTTTTTGTCGCTCTGTGTAATCATTTCTGGATTAAAACCTTCAAAGATTGAGAGATATAAGCGAAGAATCAGCTGCACAACAACAACCCCGTCGAAGAAGCAACTCTTTACCAATACCCAAAATCGAAGTTTCGCTTTACCAAAGCACCGAACTGAAGAAACAAGAAAACAACAAAGACTTTATCGAAGTTCCGGAAGTAAAAGACGTGTCACTTTTAGCAGGTACCAAGCATATCGTTGTTTAATAAACTGAGAGAAGATTTTCTAGAATCTCCTTACACCAATAAAAAATTAGATGAACCAGTTCACTTAAGACGAGTCAGCGAAAAAAGTAAAAAACGAATGAAAATGGCGGATCTTAAAGCTTTCGTTGAGACAAAACTCTTATCAAAATCTGATAAAGCGTTGGAGAAGATCGGCCAAGACGACCCCAAACCACTAGGAGAACATGCGGTGGGTTCAAGACGAATACTTAGTGTATGTATTTTCTTGTTCTCACTTCTTTCTTCTTCTCTTGCTTGTGGTATTGTTGTAAGTCTGTACCCAAAACTTTCACTTGAAGCAACCAAACTCATTTTAAGTGTTTTAAACAGGACTATCATCGCAGTTTAGACACTGGTGATGAGCACTTATCAAGACCAAGTTCTGCAATGTCGAAAATGTTTGAACCAATGCCCAGCAATCTGGTCAAGGGAAAAAGCATGCCGAGTTTAAGGTCAGTTTTGTCGTGTTGAGTCCTTAATAGACGAAAATAGATAAAAAAAAATGTTGTGCTGTTAACCTATTGTTACTTGAATGGTTTTCTTACTTTCCTAGTACCGTAAAACTTCGATTATTGTGTTTTGAACCAAATTGATGTTTAATAATCGAAGTCCTACCGTATTTTTGTGTGTCTTGAATGTCTCATGACGTATTCTGTCTCTCTTAGCTGTTTAATAGATGAACTAACCTCTGGTGGGTGAGTAGTGCATCTATCATTTCATATTTCACGACATTTATTTAGCAATACTGAGAGCTAAAGCAGTTTTATTTATTCACAACCGCACATATAAGCTAAATATTATAACCACTAAGAACTCATCAAAAGAAACAACTTTTTTATTTCCAGTTTTTGCCGAAAATACGTCGTTTTTAAGTCTTACTACGATATTTGCGTTCATTCATAAGAAAAAACTATGGAACGTAAACTGCGAAAAAAAAATATTGCTTTGAGTAGTTTTTTGTACATACATATTTTTTTTGTGCATAAAAACTTTCATCAACATTCAATGCAAATTATCTTGATAGGGAAGAAGATAAATGCAAGAAAAATTTTGGATA